GTTAGCAGAACAAAATATCCATGTTTAGGTCTCGTAAGGATCTCTTTCCATAATGCTCTTTTGTCTGTATAACAATAATAAAAGCTTTATTGGCACCTATTTCACATGACCTCTGTAATTCTCCTGTGGCTGACCCTAACCAGTACCAATAAAACCAAGCATTCATACACTGTACATAGAAAAAAAAAAACACCTCGTGTTAAAATTTTATAATGAAATGGATGCCAAAGATCTTTTTGGAAAAATTTTGAACAATTGTTAGCTCTTTTCAGTAGGATTACTTCATTTATTTATTCATTCATTTTTAATGTATCACATAATTTGTTGATGATCCATTTTCTCCTAACCTCCAGTCAAGCAGTTAATAAATATTTTCCAATGTTAACACACGAGGATACATATCCCCTCTAACCATTCTCAAACTACTTTCTTCGTTTATGTATTCACTTACCCAGGAAAGTTCCCTTCTTTGATCATTTATCTTGGATTAAAATTTCCTTCTCTTAGGAAGGAAACAGCACTAAAACCATGAGATTCGTGCTCCCAGTGGCACGCCATCCGTAAGGAACACTTAACAGGCAACAGTCAGGACATGCGACGAACTGGAAGTTTCCATGCTGAGCACTTAGTGACTCTCTGTGAATAATGAATATATTCATGGGAGCCAGCGCGAGTTATGCAGTGGTCTTGAAATAGGAAAAAGTTCTCCGTCAGTGTCATTAGCAGTGAAGAAATCAGTAAGGGAGGAGTTTATAGAGGTAAAAATAGTGAGAATAAAAAAAGACCATAGTTATGATTTACCTCATCTTTGGAAATCCCGTATTGTTTTTATCATTAAGAAAGGAAAACGCACACAGTGCTACTGAACTCAAGCACTGTTTAATTCACATTTGAAGAGTTTTAGGGCTCTCAGGTCTGTACCTACCTATAGACTAAAGCTGTGTTTCCTATAGCATGGGGGCTACAAAACCTGCGGGCAAAGCCCCTCGGGGTTCCAACCAGGAAGGATCGGGGCTCCCCGCACAGCCTGGGGCGGTGTCTAATCCTCGTCCTGCCACCCAAAATGGGACACCTTCGTGAGATGCCCTCAGGATCCTCACCCCGACGGGGCGGTGCCGAGGGGGCATCCCTCGCAATCGCCTCGGGGACGTGAGCCCCTTCCCTGAGGTCCTGCTCTGCAGCCACCGCTTCTGGGGGACAACACAGACGGAGCTGCACTGTCGGGGAGGAGGAAGCTTCGCACAGAGGCCGGGTCGATCTAATTTCAGGTCGATCGTTTGTTTTATTCTATGCTTCTTTTAAAGGGAGATATCCAAAAGTTTGCATCCCTCCACTTTTCTAAGGGATCACTGAGCACGGAAAAAAACTCGGAAAAAAAAAATTGCTTGCGAGTATTTCTCATAGCATTGTTTGTGGTTTACTGAAGATGCACATAGGGTCTTTTATTGGCTTTATTTTTATAGTTTAAGCGAAACTGTCTGCAAAATTTACCCCCAAAAAAACCAAAAAACAAACAAACAAAAAAAAACAAACAACCTTGTATATGCATATGTACGTACATCTATATGAACCAGAGGCGGGTGCTGGCTCAGTACCCTTCCCCGCAGCGCTGCCGTCGGGGCTGCCGGGAGGACGGTTGGCACGGAGCGCCTCTGTGGGTACAGAGGAAGGAGAGCCTTTTCCCACTCCCACTCTCGTCTTAGCGCTCCTGCAAAGCTCCGGACTCCAAACCCATCGCGTGCTCCTAAAAGCGGAGTGGAGCAGAGGTTAGGGAGCGAGCGCTCAAGGCTGCCTTTCATTTCGCTTTGCATTTCAATTCGCATTTTACGACGTACCGAGGCAGTGCTGGTGAAAGGAGAGTAAGGAGAGGAAACACAGGAGGGGTAATTGCATTCACATTGCAGGCCCGCTCCGCTCCATGGGGCCGGCACCCCGTGGTGGAGATGTCACTTGTGGCACCTATTCGCACCCTTTTCGTCCCAAATGCCGTTCTCCGTCCTCTGGTTTCTCTCGGAGCTCGAGTCCCCGCTCCTCCCTTCCCCTCACTTTGTGCATTGAGCTTCCGAAAGCTCAGGAGCTCGCAGAGGTGGGGAGGGAACGAGAGGGGGTGGCCCTGACCAACTGCCGGCACCTCACCCAGTGCCGGGCTGCGGACCAGGACAGAGACGCTCACAGCGGCGACCCCGGCAATCCCCAGCTCCAGGACATACAGGAGAAAAACGTAGACCTGCAAAATAAAGAAAAATAGTTTCTCGTGTGCAGCGATTAGAGAGAGTGGAACTTGGGAAAGGGAACTGAGGAGTCCCGTTGTCACCCAGCAGACGGGACCCGGGGCACATCGGACACTCCCACCCGCGATAGCCGGAGCTGTACAGGGAGGAATGCGGCATCTGTGGGGCTACACCTTCTGAAAATGAGTGCTGAAAATCGCTGGGTGCTTTTCCTGCGCCCTGTGCAGAGCCCTACCAGTGAATGCAGCGAGTACACACCTTTTCCTTCCTTCTATCCTTATAATAAGCAAAACGATTATTCAGAACTAAGTGGCAGTGATCGTGTTGCTACAGCTATGCGTAGGCATTAAGGTACGTAAACACATCAGCAAGCTTAAAGATGCTTCATACTCATGGACAAGTCTGTGCAAGTACTATATTTGCAGGCATAGAATTGTACACCATCTGAGTTTGTGCTTCAAGGATGTGTCAGGATACCTGGCTCCACAAACACAGGTCAGGTTTACGGCACACCAGACTGTCTTAAAGAAAAAAAAGAAGAAAAGAAGAAAGAGTGAATTTATTCTTACTGATTTCATTACAGTATTTCTAAATGGAAAGCAAGCAATATTACGTAAGTTACATGACTACACTGTAGGAACACATTATAAAATACGGGCACGGGCTGCATGCATATTGTTTGCACATTGGATATAAAATATATAGGAGTAACCAGCATCCACATTCTTCTCTTTATTCCAGAAAGCTCTCATATATTTTCAGAGTCTGACAGTGAAACAGAGCAGACGGTTTATAGATTCTTAACACACATTGGTCAGACTCATAATTCCTATATAGGAAAGTATGGGGAGAGTATAAGGGTGATGTCCACAAGCATCACTTATGTGCAACAAGTGACCAGCGTGCTCTTGCCTGCTTTTGCTCCTAGGTGTCTGTCCAGTTAGGACAGAAATCTGAACATGGTACTGTATGCTGCTGTTCTTCCAGAGGTCAGTTCAGAGCTCTGATTGCATTTTTTGTAATCTTTGGAAAAGGAAATCTTTGTTTTCTTTCCTCCTTTCCATCTTCCTTTCTTTCCTTCTTTTGCTCCCTCTTTCTCCCTCTCCTTCCCCCTCTCTCCTCTTTCTGTCTCTTTTCCATATTTCCCTGGATAGGCCTTGAACTTAGAGGTCACCCACTGTCACCCAGAAGGGGATCAGGACACTCCTGACCACCTCCATCCCCAAATAACAGCGTGGGAACAGGCGGGGCTGGGCCAGGGGTGCCCGAGAACTGGCAGCAAACGAGCAACACCTCTGAGAGAAATTTGTGCCCACAGCCCCGACAGAAGCAGAAGGTAGTGATGTGAATGAGGCTGTTCAGGGCATTGGTATACTCACCCTTGGTCTCCATCGTTCTGTCCTGTCCGATCTCGGGAAAAAAGGCAGAGGATCACCGTTCTGCTCTGGGGTTTGCTGGGGATCCCTGCTCCATCCGGAAAGCTTGGAAGAAGAGAATAGGCAGAGGGGGAGATTTAGGGCTTTCTGCTGAAGAGGTAACAACAATTAAAAAGTCGTAATGCGCAGCGATTGGGGCGGGAATGGTGAGATCAGAGCGGGCAGCTCCTCGGGCAGGGGGGGCACGGGGCGGCTTCGGGGAGCAGGGAGCATCACCGTGCTTCTGCATGAAGTCATATCTGAACACCATGAGGTGTTATGTATATATATATATACACACACACATATATACACACACATACATATAATAAATAAATGTGTATTATAAATAAACATGCCCACATAATAAATATATACACATGCGCATAACAAATATGGCTAGAATAAATATACGTATATATATATACACACACAAAAAGGAATAGGTTAAACAGCACTCACCGTGCTATAAACAGTCAGGCGTCCTCGGGAGACCTCGCAGACAAAGGTTCCCCTCTTTCCAGTGCTCGGCTTTGCACATTCGGAGGCTCTCCGAGGCACAACGACCACCGCCCCGCCCGGTGATGGCTGTAGGGCCCGGCTGCGGAGGGCGCGTCTCCTCCGTCTCTTCCATCCATCTCCGCAGACATGAAAGCTCCGCGCCTGCCGCGCTCAGAGGTCGGGGGGGGTGGGGGGGGGGAAGGGGGAAGGTTGATTATTATTAATGATATTAATATAACCTCGATGTTCGCCGAGCCCATTGGCTGTCCGGGCTGCCCGCTCAGCCTTCTGCAGCCAATGGTAAAGCCGGGACGCGCAGTGGTCATGCCCCCCCTCCGGCTGCTGCCCGTGTGCCGGGGCCGGCACCGCCGCTCCCCCCGCGTCGGGATTTGCTCCCTAATTGACCTAAATAAGGAGCTCGTGAGTGGCAGCCCCGGGGCGGCGCGCACACGCACACACGGACACACGGACACACGCACACACACAGCAGCGTCCGACCCCGGCCCCGCTCAGCCATCGCCCTGCGCTTCCCCTGCGGAAATCCCATTTGCCGCCGCTCTCCTCCAATCGCAGGATCCCCCCCTCTCGTGTACAGCGTTTAACTCGCATGACATTTTTATTTCGTTATTATCGTTTTCGCGCAGAATCTGGCGCCTCCGATGGGTTGTCGGATTGCTTTTTTTTTTTTTTTTTTTCTTCCCCATTCCCTTCCATTCCTCCTCCTCCCCCCTCCCCTCCTAGCTTGCAGGAAATGATGGCAAACCGCGATCTGAAATGATTACTCCGGAAAAAAAACCTTTTATACCAGGAGAGCATCCACGGGACTAAGCAGAGGCAGGAGGCGGCCGCGGGGCAGCGGGGAGCCGAGGAGCCATCCTCTGGCGGAGCCGGGACCCTCTCCCCTCCCGCAGCTGTTTTACCGACGATGCCGGACGAAGCGACGGAAAACGCCGGCTCCACATCTGCCCGCGTCTCGTCCTTTTTCATCGAGGACCTGCTGGGCACGGAGGGCGGCGGAGGGGCGCGGAGGGCGGCGGCGGGAGGCGGAGGTGGGCGCGGAGCTCCGCGCTGCGGCCCCCACTCCCCGCTGCGCCTCGGAGCCTCGAGCTGCCCGCTTCGCGAAGCCGCCGTCGGTTGGTACCGCCGAGCTTTCTTGGGCTGCGCCAGCCCCGACAGTAAGTTCCCTTTCCCTACGGGACCCTGAAGGAAATGGGGGGTGCTGCTGTCCCCTCCCCAGTGAGTCCGGTCCCGTCGCGGTCCCGAGTGGGGAGGGAGAGTGGTGCTGCCGGGCTGTCCTTCGCAGCCTTCATCCCTCTTCTGTCCGGAGATTTCGGCTGCCCAAATTTCCGGAAATGCTCTCAGGGTGTTGGACACCTGGAGAGCCTCCGCCCCGCCTGCTGCTCGTCCCGAAATGTCAACAGCGGGGGCTGTTCTCTCTCTTGGAAATTTTTTCCTTTATTTCTTCCTATTATCATTTCTTCCTTTTCTTTTATTATTTTTTTTTTCTGCTTTAAGCTTCCCAGTAACCTCAAAAACCGGGAGCACCGTCCCCGTAGAAGAGTCCCGAAGCAGGTCTCTATAGCACCGACCCTATAACCCCCTCCCCTCGGTGCAACCGAGGCCCGCAGCCCCTTCCCCGCCGCTCTCCGCGCACTGCGGGGCTTCGCAGGGAGAGGCTTCTCCTCCCACTCGGGCTCCGGGGCACAAGTTAACATCTGAAAAAGTTTATGGGCTGCGATCAGCGGTTGGTTATTTTTATCCTGATAGAAAAAATATTGTCCCTCGGCGCATCCCTTTGATTCCGTGCTGGGCTATGGGGTTCACACGCTTACTCAGTACTGAGTAGAGGCATCATTTATAATCCAGAGGTTTCCTTTTACAGGGATGGCTTTATTAATATTTTTAGTTTCTCTCTAAAGTACATCTAGAAAGAGAAAATGACCACCAAAACAACTGCTTGGTTTTCCTCCCTTCTTTTTTCTTTTTCTTTTTTCTTTCTTTTTTTCTCCCTTCTATTCTTCATTCATGTTCTTCATTTCATATTCTTCATCCTTCTATTAGCATGTTATCCTTCTTTAGAACTCCAACTGGAAAACCCCCTATGGGCAACCACCTCCATGCTGGAGGCAATGTCCCGATATTAGAGCAGCTGATCCCACCGATGTGGTTTATGCAGCTGAGAATAACATGAAGCAATAGCATTTGTTTGCTCCCTCTCTTCATAAACATGCACTCACTGATACACTTACCCCATCTATACACACCCCAACATACTTACGTATGTTCTTGTAAATATATGTGAACATACGTGTGTAAATGCATTGGTATATGTGTGTAAATATATATGTGTGAGTGTATAAATGTGCAAGCACATAAGTGCATGTATGTAAGTATATATATACTTATATGAATATATACGTGTGTATATAAATGGCCATGTATATGCTGTATATACTTGTGTGCAAAACATATAAAGTGTACAGATGTTATATACGTGCATATATATAAGCATATATGGATGTTATATACATACATACATATGAATATAGGTATATGCGTATAGGTATATCCGTGCACATAGGTATGTATGCACACATATACGAGTATGCACTTACACATATATATATGCATGACATATATTTTATGTGTTTACGTGCCACTATATGGGAGTCCTTCACAACGCAAGGAGCACTAGCAGCGGCCTCAGCCCCTGGTTCGCTGCCCCCGCACCGCGTTGTTTCCCCTTGCGATACCCAGGCGGTGGGAGACGCTCCTCAGAGCTTCCCCCAACCCCAGCGCTGTGCCTCTCTCCGCAGCCAGCGACCGGGACTCGCCGGAGCTGCCCGAGGACACGGAGCGGGCGGGCGGCGGCGGGCGGGCGGCGTCGCGGGGCCCCGCGGGCGGGCGGCAGAGCTCCGGAGGCCGCGAGGAAGAGGAGGAACGCGGCGAGGAAGCGGGCGAAGCGGAGCAGAGAGCCGCCGGCCGCAAGAAGAAGACGCGCACGGTGTTCAGTCGCAGCCAAGTCTTCCAGCTGGAGTCCACGTTCGACGTGAAACGCTACCTGAGCAGCTCGGAGCGGGCCGGCCTGGCAGCCTCGCTGCACCTTACCGAGACGCAGGTGAAGATCTGGTTCCAGAACCGCCGCAACAAGTGGAAGCGGCAGCTCGCCGCCGACCTGGAGGCGGCCAACCTCTCCCACGCCGCCCAAAGGATTGTGCGGGTCCCCATTTTGTATCACGAGAACTCGCCGGCCAGCGCCTTGGGCTTCGGCCTGCCCCACATGTCCCCTCCCTTGGTGGGCTTCTCCGGCGGCGTCAGCTACCCCCTGGGCACCTTCCCCGCCGCCTCCCTCCCTTTCCTCCGCTCGCAGATGACGGGACTCGTCTGAGCGCCCACCTGTGTCGGGACCGCGGCCCCGAGCCCCCTCCCTTGGCTTCCAGCTTCACCCTCGGACTTTTTCTTTCCACTTTCACCATTTTCCGCTTTTCGACTTTTATTTAAAAAAAAAAAGAAAAAAGAAAAGAAAAAAAAAAAAAAAGAAAGAAAACGTGCAATAAACTTACCGCTGGGGTTAACGCAGAGCGGCGCGCAGCAGCACGGAACCCAGATGAGCGCAGCCATGAGCCGGAGGCCGTTCAGAGCCCCCCCCCCCCCCCCCCCCCCCCCC